TAGGAGAAACTAGGGCACAGGTGGAGATCCTCTAAAGTGGTGCATATCCAGCAACGTAGAATCATATCTTCAAGTTCATGCCAAGCTCAGTATGCCATCATTTTAATAAAATTTACATGTGGTTTTGTGCCCCACCCCACACTTTTCTTAACAAATTATGGGTAAAAACACGAGCAGTTTAACTTTAGTTATAATAACATCATCCTGTCATTTTTACATAGCCCAAACCTCAACTCCTCCCCACAAACCCCAGGAGTTTTAAAAGCACCTTGAGTTTTGCTAAAGAGCTGCTGGCTTCATATCACAGACATCAGCCCACTCTCCGTCTGAGTGGTACTGTGCTTCAATACACTTTGCTTTGAGCCTGCATTTTAGTGTTAGTTTGCAATTCTTTGCTCGCTATTACAAGAACCAAGATTGTTGGTTCCAGCCCTGTTGATGTCCTCAGTCAAACGATCTATCCTAATGCAGAATTCCTGGTAACAGTGTGAACATTCAAAATCCTCTCTTCCAGATATTTTGAAGCATACCTTACTGTTAACTGCTGTCACCCTACTGTACAATAGAACACTATATGATAGAATTTAGTGAAGTAAGAACGAGAAGTCAGCCAGGCGCAGTGGCTCACACCTGTAATCACAGCACTTTGGAAGGCTGAGGCCGGCAAATCACCCGAGGTGAGGAGTTAGAGACCAGCCTGGCCAATATGGTGAAACACTGTCTGTACTAAAAATACAAAAATCAGGCCAGCATTGTAGCGTGTATGTCTGTAATCCTAGCTATTGGGAGGCTGAGGCAGGAGAACCACTTGAACCTGAGAGGTGGAGGTTGCAGGGAGCAGAGCTCACACACCAGCTTGGGCAACAGACCAAGACTCTGGCTCAAAAAATAAATAAATAAAACCGAAAAATACAACATTAGAGTACAATAGCTCTTTAGTCAGACTTCAATGGAATCAACCATATGAGAAAAGAATGAGAGCTTCAATATTTAAAACTCCTTTGTTGGAATAAAAACCTACATCCCAGCGTGTGATTGGTATCAAAAGATAAACCACAATATGAGAAAATACTTGTAGCATATTTTAAAGGGTAGGTCAATGTCTTCAACAAATAAAATACTCGAGTATCAGACTGTGCTTACACATCCTTAATATATAAAATCAAATACATCAAGAATATCCCAACGGAAATAACAGGAAACAATAACAGGCAATTCACAAAAGGATATATAGAAATAATACCTGAGAAAAGAAAACATATCCAACTTCCCTAGAAATCAAGGAAATGGTTAACTATATTCATGGAATTTCTCCCATTAGGCTGTTGCACAAAATAAGCAGGATATGTAAAGTACTTAGGTCAGTGCCTGACATATAAACACTCTACACATGGTAACTATCATAATTTAAAAGTTTAATAGGATGGGTGTGGTGGCTCTCATCTGTAATCCCAGCACTATGGAAGGCTGAGGTAGGCGATCCCTTGATGTCAGGAGTTCAAAAGCAGCCTGGTTAACGTGGTGAAACCCCATCTCTACTAAAAATACAAAAATTAGCCCGGTGTGGTGGCAGGCATCTGTAATCCCAGCTACCCAGGAGGCTGAGGTGGGAGGACTGCTTGAACCCAGGAGGTGGAGGTTTCAGTGAGCCATGAAATTGCACCACTGCACTAAAAAAAACCCAAAAAGTTTAATATTTATTACTGTGGAACTTATGGGGACGCTACATCAAGCTGTTTCCCAATTGAACTGGAATGACCACAACAACAGCTGAACACTGTAAATGTCCGAATCAGGAGAAATACAGGAAGGTAAACATTTGATTTTCAAGTGGAAGTTCAAAGCGTTACATTCTTTCTGGAGGACAGTTTGGAAATAAGTACACAAAGTAATTTGGCAATTCTCTTTATAGTTTTTCTCAGGGAAATGTTCAAGGAAATGTATAAAGGTATCTGTAGAAGCATATTTGCAAATACATAAAGATGGAATCAATCTAAATGTCCAAGGGTAGGGGACTTAAAATATGAAAATTCCGTTGTATTAAATACTATCAGCTTGCAAAACAGATGAATTGTATTTATACATGCTGATGTGGAAAGATATCCCTGATGTACTATTGTGTCAACAAAACATTATGGAGCAATTCCTGATTTGTATTAGAAATATATTCACAGGGCTGGGCATGGTGGCTCACACCTGTAATCCTAACACTTTGTGAGGCTGAGGCGAGCGGATCACAAGGTCAGTAGATCAAGACTATCCTGGCTAACACGGTGAAACCCCATCTCTACTAAAAATACAAAAAATTAGGCGTGGTGGCAGGTGCCTGTACTCCCAGCTACTCAGGAGGCTGAGGCAGGAGAATCGCTTGAACCTGGGAAGCGGAGGTTGCAGTGAGCAAGACCGCACCACTGCACTCCAGCCTGAGAGGGAGACTCTGTCCCCACCCCCCACCACCCCCCAAAAAGTGTCTGCCCTCACGGACACTGATCGTTTAGTCGTGGGAAACAAATATTACACAAGTACATAATGTCGGGTAGTGATAAACATTAGGGAGAAAAATAAGGCAGAGCCGAGGCTGTTTGGCTCTTTACAGAGCTGGGGAAGGCCTCTTTGAGGGGGTGACATTATGAGCATAGTGAGACAGCAAGCCTTGTGGCTACCACAAGAAAGATAGCTTTATGCTTTCCCAAATTAATTTTCTTAATTTTCTCTTCCAAGCATGCAATTCCTGCAAAATTAAAAGAAGCCAAGAAACCTCTTTCCATTTCAGAAAGAGATCTGGAGCTTGAGATCATCTCCCGGTCGAGGCGTGAAGAGAGTGGGAGAGGATCCGAGATTATGGAAAAGAGAACCCCGAGCCCCTATGTTCTGGATCCCTCCGGGCCCCGGAACCCCTGCTGCCCCGCAGCTCCTCGTGAACGAAGCCGCTAGTGGGAGAGCGCGGGACTCCGGCCAGGTCAGCGTCCCGCTTCCTGCGTCCTTCTAAGGCGACCCCACACAGGGGATCGCGGCAGGAGGCTCCGCGCTCCTTACCGGATGGCATTTCCCAGGAAGCTCCACGCCTCTCCAGGGAATTGGGAGAAGCGGGACCCAAGAGGCTGGAAAGGAGTCTCCCCGGTCCGAGCTCCAGCTCCCGGTCCGCGGCCTCTCGGCCCTCACCTACTAGTTGGTTTAGAAAAGACGGTGGCTGAAGGAAGAGGTCGCTCTAGCGCATCCCTTCCGGCGGAGCAGGCACTCCACTGGTGGCTAGACCATGTGCCCTCTCCGCTCCTAGGGGCCAGCCTTGGCTTCCCCTTTTTGCCGCTCAAAGGCCAGAGGCGCAGGAAAATGTGAATCAAAAGCAGAGACGAAGAACTGAGCAAACCTAGACTCAGAACCTCACCTTTCCGCCCGGATGCAGGTGTATGACGCGTATGGGGTTTCCGTCTTCTAATAGCCAGCCTGAGAATTCTTCCTGTTCATTGGCCATCAGTCAGGGAGAAGGCGGGCTCAGAGAACTAACGGCTTTTTGGGAATCGGGGAATGGACGGGGCCCGTCCTTGCCCCAGCGCATGCGCTGCGTAGTTTCCCGGCGAGACCCGCGAGGACTTCCGGCGCCGGGAGCTGGCGGCGGAAGTGGGATCTTCTGGACCGCCGTTGGCGTACTGTGTTTCGGGGGCGGGGACCCGGGCTCTGGCTGCTGAGCTCCGACATCCAGCACCCGTCTCCGGGTGGCCGGGATCAGCGTCCCGAGGCAGAGGCCGGAGGGTGCGCGCACTGCTAGGAAGTGCTGGGACCCCTGCACCGCCCTGCCTGCTTGGTCCCCAGGCAGACGCCCCTGCACGATCGTCGCCCGTCCCGCGGGCGAGGCTGCGGGGGACACCGCGGGGCTCCGGCCGGCTTGCCTTCCTGCCTGCCGTGTCCTGCTGAGCGACCCTGGTGAGTCCTGGCCCTCACCAGAGGATGAGAATGGCGCGCGCACCTTTCAGGGGTCTTGTGAGGAGCAGAATAAATAAAGCGCTTAGGGTGGAGAAAAAGAATTGGAAACAACCCGAATGCATCACTCGAGTATTGATTAAGAAACTGGAGCATATCCATACCGCGGAAGCTCATAGTGCCGCTAATGTATGTGCAGTAAGGTCTCATTTATGTAAAAACACATCAAGCACCTTCTTTTTTTCTCTTTTCTTTCCACCCCTCGCCCCTCGCCCATGGACGACATTTTTAGGAAAAGCACAGGAAGAGGTCTGGAACGTCAGTTGTCAGACTGTTAAGGGAGGGTGCAATTGCACTGAGGAAAGGAAGAGTTTTATGGATTTCCATATTGTTTGAACATCCCCCCTATTTTATTATGATCGTTTGTATTTTTTTCTTTTTTTTTTTCTTAACTTTTTTTTTTTTTTTTTTGAGACGATCTCACTCTGTTGCCCAGACTAGAGTACAGTGGTGCGATCAACCTCAAACTCCAGGACTTAAACGGTCTTTTCTCCTCAGCCTCCGCAGTAGCTGGGACTACAGGAGCCCCCCTACCATACCCGGCATTTTTTGTTTTTTGGTACAGATGGCATCTCACATTGTCTTCCCAAAGTGGTCTGGAACTCCTGGCCTCAAGCAGTCCTCCTGTATCTGTCTCCCAAAATACTGAGATTACAGGCATGAGCCACCAAGCCCAGCCAGTTTGTATTTTTATTGTTGAAACAAAACATCGATTAATGAAAATTGTAAAATATACTTTTCATAACCATTGTAAAGAGTAACAATGTAAAAAAAAAAAAAAACGACAACAAAAGAGTGACGAAGTAAGGTATAAGTGTGTCATTTATTTATTTATTATTATTATTATTTGAGATGGAGTCTCACTCTGTCGCCCAGGCTGGAGTACAGTGATGCAATCTTTGCTCACTGCAACCTCTGCCTCCTGGGTTTAAGCAGTTCTCCTGTTTCAGCCTCCTAAATAGCTGGGATTCCAGGTGTGCATCACCATGGCTGGCTAATTTTTGTTTTTAGTAGAGACGGGGTTTTACCATGTTGGTCAGGCTGGTTTTGAACTCCTGACCTCGTGATCTTAAAAGTGCTACTAGGATTACAGGCCTGAGCCACCATGCCCGGCCACATGTCATACATTTATATGTATCTGAGGATAAAGGGCATTGGATGGTGTCTGTGAGCCCTTCTGTGACACCTCAGGGCCAGATGTGTTTTGGAATTCAAAGATTTTCAAATTTGAGAAAGATAATACAGTGCATATACAATATATCAAGCACATCTCCAGAGGGATCTGGAGCAACACTAAATAATGAAACATACCAGTTAAAAATTTTTAATTGATGTATAATGTATGTACAGAAAAACACACCACTGGGTATAGCTAAAAGAATGTTTATAAACTGAAGATATATGTTATTAATGTTTCTGCCATAATTGTGAACATTTACATTTAGTGGAATAAATTGAGATTACAAATATGCTCATATCAGGTCAAGTGGTGCTGCGAAATGAGTGACATTGGGTTTTGCTCTCAAAGGAGTTATACAATACCTGGGTTTTGGATTTCTGACTTTGGGATGAGAGCTTGCAGGCCCGTGTTAATACCAGAGACAGTCACGTGAGCAAGGCATTCCAGCAGAGCCTGGAAAAGGCATCAGGGCTATGAAAGGATGGGGACTGGATGGCTCTTCAGTCTGGTGTTTGCTCACATATTCCACATCCTTCCTCCTGAGTCCTGCCATTTTGCTCTTTCCCCAGGAGTACACATCCAGATGCCAGCCCAGCTGCCACAGGGGATCCCTCTGGGAGACTGAAAGGACAGGTTCTGGGGCTCGAGTTGAGGCCGACCAGCCCTGACCCTCAGGCCAGGGGAATGGCAGCCCCCTTGGAGCCCCAGGACCAGGCCCCTGGGGAGGGAGAAGGGCTTCTGATTGTGAAAGTGGAAGATTCCTCCTGGGAACAGGAATCTGCCCAGCATGAGGACAGCAGGGATTCCGAAGCCTGCCGCCAGCGCTTCAGGCAGTTCTGCTACGAGGATGCGCATGGGCCTCATGAGGCCTTCAGTCAGCTCTGGGAGCTGTGCTGCCGCTGGCTGCGGCCCGAGCTGCGCACCAAGGAGCAGATCCTGGAGCTGCTGGTGCTGGAGCAGTTCTTGACGGCGCTGCCAGGGGAGATCCAGGGCTTGGTCCGTGAGCAGCACCCAGGAAGTGGCGAGGAGGCTGTCGCCTTGGTGGAGGACCTACAGAAGCAGCCAGTGAAAACCTGGCCGCAGGTGAGGGGCCTTTCCACATCCAGGGGCACCTGGATGGTACCTGAGCTGAAGAGAAGTGGGCACCCTGCTGAGATAAGTCTCCCAGATGTTGACAGGGTAGGGGAGACACAGAGCCCCTAGGAGTGGGCACAGGAGCACAGCGTGCCATGGGTGCCTTTCTGAAAGACGGAGAGTCCAAAGTAAATACAATTTATTTTTGCGGATTTGGAAGTCAGTAGTAGGAATGAAGTGGGAATGCTCCACTTCATTCAGCAGGTTTTAGCTCCATGCAGTGGAACTAAGGAGGTTTCAGCTCCATTCAGGTTCTGCAGATGTTTTATTTGCTTTTTGCTGTAGGCCTGGCTCTGAGGACAAAAGGGTGTGCAAAGGGCCAGCTCCAGAGTGGGGTGAGAAGGTGGAGCTGTCCAGGGCCCCTGCTACCTTGTGGGATGTTGGGTTGTTCACACTGTATGCATCTGGGGAGGTTCTAATGAGTGGCTGGGGGATGGGGTTCTGCCTTTGGCAGGAGGGTCCCCAGCAACCACCTTGCTAAGTGGCTGTGATTCTGGCCTTTCAGGCTGGTTGTTGCCTTGTAACTGATCAGGGAGTTTCCTTGGGCACACAGCATTGCCTGGTATCACATTCTGCTCTGGACTTTCCTGGGGCACATTATTGGTCTACTTCCCACTCCCCAGCATCCTGAGGGTCATGTCCTGTGTCTCCTTCCCAGGAAATAAACTCTGTCTCCCTCGGTCTGGTTTCGGGCTGATGAGCATATTATGGTTCCTGCACAGGATGTGCCCTTGGAGGAGGCGGAACCCAAGGCTGCAGGCCAGGAATCTCAGGCCAAGGGGCCTCCCTCGACAGTAGGGGCACGGAGGCAGCCACCTGTTCCCCAGGAGCAGCACAGCCATGGCGGTGAGTAAGCCTCTGTTCCGTGGGTGGTAGAGTGGCTGGGCACTGGCACCAGCATTGCCCTAAGGGTCACAGGCAGGACAGTTCACTCTGTGAAGCCTAGGGCATGTGTGCATGCACACAGGCCAGGGAGGCCTTAAGGTGTTGGTGTCAGGCCTAGGCTGGCCTTTCTAAGGCTCCATTCTTCTCCTTCAGCCCAGCTTCCTGCTCTTCTTAAAGAGGGGCAGACCAGAGAGCCAATGGATACCTGCTTTGTCTCCGGCGTCCATGTGAGTCACCAGTCCCTTTGGTCTTCTTTAAGGTGCTCAGCTCTGTTGAGTTTGTAAAACAGGACTTGCTGTCCCATCAGGCCTCTTTCATCTGACCCATCCTATGCCCGCCAGCGCTCCTGGGAGGCCTGAGCAAGGCTGCCCTGAACTGGGTCTTCTTGCCCCATTTCAGGGACCTGTGGCATCAGGAGACATTCCATTCTATTTCTCCCAGGAAGAATGGGGCACCCTGGACCCTGCTCAGAGGGATCTCTTCTGGGACATAAAGCGGGAAAACTCCCGGAACACGACTCTGGGTAAGCACCTAGGGCCTTTGGGGTCCAGGCTGGCTGCTCCCCATTCTGGGACTTCAGTCTTCTTTCCCATCCTGCCCTTAGCTGGTTCCAGAGCAGGCTCTCCCCAGGTTTCGCCAAGAGCCTGTGTGACTGGTTTCTTGGCTGAGGATCCGTTTTTGTGCCTGTCCACATGCAGCACGAGACGGTGCCAGCGCTGCTCAGCCCTGCGCTAAGCACTCATAAGGGCAACTTCTTCAATTCTCACAACCTAGTGCATAGAAGTATTGTCCCCATTTTATACATAAGGGACCTGAGACTCAGGTCAGTGGATGCTGAGGGGACACAACTGGGACTTGGATCAGGCATAGTTGTGAGGGCACCTTGAGCTGCCAGGACCAGGGGTGCTGATGGGGAACCCCAGCTGCTCACCAGCCTGGCCTTCTGCTCATCAGAGCTTCACTTACCAGGTCCCTCTTCATGCCAGGCCCCTTCTCAGCACCCTCAGGGATCATCTTGTTCAGTCCGCACTCCTAGCAGGATGGGCTTCGAGCCCTATTCAGGTCTTTTGTGTGTTGAGTTTGGAGAGGTGGAACCTGCATGGTGATGGGAGTCACACTAGGTAGACCAGCTTGGTTCCTCAGTTTCTGATTGTGACAGTTGGGAACATTTTCAAAATTACTGTAAATCTGTTCAGCTGTGGAGCTTGAGTAGCTGGGGTTCAGAGTGGGACACTGGATCCGAGTGTGGCCTGCAGGGCACAGATGGCCTGGGGGCTGGCCTGTGCAGGCGCCTGCTCAGACTGCTGCTCTGCCACATTCTTTCATCATCCCGGTTTTATAGATGAGGAATCTGAGGTTTCTGCTGTGTGAGCCCAGGGCTGTCTGAGCCTGGAGGCCAGGGAGCTTTCCCCAGCCTGGTTTCTTCCTCACCTCAGCTCTGGCCCCAGAACCTAGTGGCACTGAAGAGGTCGCCTCCTTCCTGTTGCAGGTTTGGGGCTCAAAGGCCAAAGCGAGAGGTCCCGGCTGGAGGAGGTGGTGCCAGCGCTGCCAGGACAGGCGGACCTGGGCCCAGTGGTGGGCGCGCGACGGGGGCGGCCACCCACGCGCCGTCGCCAGTTCCGGGACCTGGCGGCTGAGAAGCCGCACAGCTGCGGGCAGTGCGGGAAGCGCTTCCGCTGGGGCTCGGACCTGGCGCGGCATCAGCGCACGCACACGGGCGAGAAGCCGCACAAGTGCCCCGAGTGCGACAAGAGCTTCCGCAGCTCCTCAGACCTGGTGCGCCACCAGGGCGTGCACACGGGCGAGAAGCCCTTCTCCTGCTCCGAGTGCGGCAAGAGCTTCAGCCGCAGCGCCTATCTGGCCGACCACCAGCGCATCCACACAGGCGAGAAGCCCTTCGGCTGCAGCGACTGCGGCAAGAGCTTCTCACTGCGCTCCTACCTGCTGGACCACCGGCGCGTGCACACTGGCGAGCGGCCCTTCGGCTGCGGAGAGTGCGACAAGAGCTTCAAGCAGCGCGCGCACCTCATCGCACACCAGAGCCTGCACGCCAAGATGGCCCAGCCCGTGGGGTGAGCAGCCGGCTTGGCCGGAAACCCCGGGGAGGCCCAGCCGCGGCACATTGTTTCGACCATGGGACTTTCTTCCCATCTGTGGCCACCTCCCGGGCTGTCCAAGGGACTCCAGGGCACCCTACACGCAGAGCTTGCCTGCCCTGCTGTACTCTGAGGACCTGCCCAGCACTCAAAGGGAACGGAAGCCCCCCTCACCTTGTCTTTCCCCCTTCTGCTCCTAGCATTTCTCTTCCCCTCTAGTCTCCTGAAGCGTCAACACATTCCTGATGGGCAGCAGGGCGGCCAGGACTCAGGTCTAGGTCCCTTCCCAGAAGCCCCCCAGCCTCATTTGACTGTGGCTCTTTGGCCTCCACCCTCTGGGGTGGGTCCATGGGTCAGGCCTCTGCCCTGCCAACCTGTGCCTTTCAGTGGGCATGAAGGACTGGCCTTGGCCCCCCAGGGGGCTGCTGGGCTTTGGGAGGGACAGTCAACCCACACCTGTGGGACCCCAGATCTTAGTCACAGCCGCAGGGGCTTTTTGGCCCCACCCACTCCCGTTTCCAGGCCGTGACCACTCTGCCCTGTCCTGGCCACATGGACTCGTCCTGCCTTTACCCTCGGCCTACTTGCCCCAGCATGAGCCTCGAGAGCCATCTGCCCACCAGTCTGGTCAGGATAATGGTGGCTCCAGTGACAACCCTGGAGACGAAGAACAGGGCGTCTGGCTGCCGTCCGCTCCTCTAGAAGTGCAGCTGCACCGTACTCAGTGCTAGCACTCCATCAGCAGTGGAGCTCCACCCCCTCGGCACTAGCGCCCTGCTTCGTCGGCACTAACGCCCCCGCTCCATCGGCACTGGTGCCCCGCTCTATCGGCACTGGCAACCCCCTCCATCGGCACTGGCGCCCCCCTCCATCGGCAATAACACCCCACTCCATCGGCACCGGCGCCCCCTTCCATCGGCACTAGCCACCCACACCATCCGCACTGGCGCCCCGCTCCATTGGCACTAGCCCTCCCCCTCTCCATCGGCAATAACGCCCCGCTCCATCAGCCCTGGCGCCCCGCTCCGTCGGCACTAGCAACCCCTTCCATCGGCACTGGCGCCCTGCTCCACTGGCACTTTGCTGCTGCCCCCCTCCTCCAGCACTGCCTTCCATGGACAGGGACAGACCACAGGCCCTGCAAGGACTCAGCCCCGCAGGCCTCCAAAGGGTGACAGAGGAGTTTTAATAAACGTGGAAGCTTCCCTCCAGGCTATTCTGTTCTTTACGTGGTAGCGGGTGGGGATACCAGGAATATAAATCCTTTGGCCTGGCCTTGTGTCCTGGTGGCACATGGTGCTGTGCCGTCACTAGGAGGAGCCACATTCTTGGCTTTCAGGTCAGCTGGGCCCCAATGGGCAGCCATGTCCCCTGGGACTCTTGGCCCCCTGTGTCAGCCAGTGCCTGCCCTGCTCTGGGGGCACTGTCTGTGCCCCTGCAGAACAGGGAGCTGAGCAGGACCACTTCTTCACCAGGCCACTCCTCTTCCACTACCAGGAAAGGAAGAAGGGTCTGCAGATGGCGGCTGCTTGGTCAGTGGTGGGACCCTCATGCTGCGCATTGGGGATCTGAACCCAAGGCTGCCCCAGGCTGAGTCGTTTGGAGGAGGGCCTGACAGTGGGCCTGCCCTTCCTCCCCAGCAGCCCCTGACATCCAACTTCTTCCTGCCAAGAGCCCCAGGTAGGGGCCAACCAAGAGCTGGTGGGCACCCAGGCATGACCCCTCCTTCCACCCATGCTGGTCCCTCCCGGTTCACCTGCTGATGGCATCAGGGGCCCTACCTGAGGGGAGGTGGAAGCTGGTGGAGACAAGATGCTCTGGTCCCTTGGCAACAGGTGTGCACGTGCCAGCCCTCTCTGCCCCTAGGCCTTTCTCAGCCAACCCCCCATGCATGCATCATCCTGCGGTTGCTGCCATGGTCCCCATTTCCCATAAGAAGCAAGCGAGGTCTTGCTGCAGATGGGGCTGATTCCAGTTGGCGAATTTTACCTCTGGGGGCCTGGTGCTATGTGCATGAGGGTGGCAGGTGGCCGGGACAGTACAAGGACTTCTTGGTGGTGGTGGCTGGCTCTAAAGGGAGACACTCGGGTGTAAGGAGATCAGATAAGCACGTGGGTAAGGAGCTAAGAATAGGATTGGGCACAGGTTCCTGGCTCAGGTGTGGGCACATCAATGCCAGGCAAGGAAGTCACCAGCAGGAGCCAGAGAATGGAGCTGTGGCTAGGGCAGCAGGGCTAGGCACCAGGGTTCCAGGGAGGGGGCAGAGTCCAGCTTAGCTCATACGTAGAGCTGATAGCAGTCGTTAGGGGAGAGGGCAAGGGTTAGGACCCAGGGCACTGGGAGCCCAGGGCCAGGAGGCAAGCTCCGTGTTTGGTGCTTGGAGGAAGCCCCGCCTGGCACCATGGCCTTCCTGGTGGCTGGGACCCTGCGGGTGGCCACGCAGATGGCAGATACTCAAGACAGCCTGGGGAGAAAGGTAGCAGGAGGCACCGCCTGGCCCAGCCACTGCTGCCTCCCAGCTGAGCCCCAGCCTAGCCCAGCCCAGCTCTGGCCTTGCCTCCCCAGGGAAGGTACAACGTGCAGGGTCCAAGGGCAGCCCTGATGCTCAGCAGCCCTGGGGTGGCAGCCGCTGCAGTAACTGCCCTGAAGGATGTGTTCCAGGCCCTGGGCTTTGAGAGCTTCGAGAGCAGGGAGGTCCCGGTCCAGGTGAGCCTCTGCCTTTCACCTCCACCCTCAGGATTGGCCCCCACCCCTCCCCACCCTCCCCTGACCCAGAATCTCCTACCCACCCAGAACCCCCCAACTTACTCAGGCTGGTCTCCCTCTTGGCTCTAGGGCTTCCTTGAGGAGCTGGCTTGGTTTCGGGAGCAGCTGGATGCCCACGGGCGCCTTGTGGGGTGTGCCCTAGTGGCCTTGGTGGCCCCCAGAGGGCAGCTATGGCAGCCACAGCAGCTGGTCCGGGAGCTGAGCAGCTGTGGGGTCCTTCAGGGCTGCCCCAAAGTCTTTCTGCTGCTCCCGAGTGGCCCTGGTGGTGAGTGGGCTGGGCAGGGACACAGAGGCTGGGCAGGGGAGCCTCAGGCCTCACTCCAGGCCAATACAGTGCTTCTCCACCCAGCCACCCTGGAGCCCGAAGCCTTCCTCGATGGCCTGAGAGAGCTCTGTAGCCACTGTCCTCACTGGTCCCTGGTGCAGCTGCTGACAGAGGTGGGGACGCTGGAGGGTAGGCCCAGGAAAGCGGGCTGGGCCTGCTGTCTCCCCTGGTTCTGTGGTGCCCCCAGAGCCAGTTACAGTTAAATTCATTCACGTGTGTCCTCCCTCCCATTCATTCTACAAACCTTTATTGTCTACACACATGGTGTCAGTACCCCACCCCCAACTAGGAACCCCCGCGACCCACTCAGGATCCCCCGCGACCCACTCAGGATCCCCCAACACTCCAGCCTCCTCCCAACTCCATGCCTTGGCCCAAGCAGTTTCCTGTGCCTGCCACACCCTCCTGCTGTCCCGGCCAGCCCACACCGTCCTCTCCAGGCTGTCAGGGACACCCTTCCTTGCATCCACGCTTGCACTTCAGGCCACCCCTTTTCACACCAGGCAGTAACTATCTGCCATGTTAGATCGCAGGACCCTAGAGACTGGGACTGGGAATGATTCAAGTCTGGTCTCCAGGGGTGAAGGTCTCACTGGGCAGTTGGGTGGCCCCTGGGCAGCCTTGGAGGTGAGGGGGTGTGGGCCCCAGCTGTCCTCTGTGGATCACCCAGAAAGGCAGTGCGCACCCCGTGAGCCTTCCCAACAGGCCCTGCCCTGCCCTGCTCTAGGGAGCATCCCCACCTCTGTGCACACTGATCCCAGGGCAGGGGTTAATGGTGTGGCCACTGTCCACTTGAGGCCATCCATGCCCAGAGAAGTCCATGACCTTGAGCCTGAACTGGGGCCTGGGACTTGCTTGAGGCCATCCTGCTTGTCTGTCCTTTGCTGGCCTCCTTTCTGTGTTTTGGCAGGTGACCCTGAAGAAACTATAAAAGCCACGAGTCTGGCTGAGTCTTTTCTCTGCCCCTTCCCAGCTCTTCCACAGGGTGGCTGAAGAGTCCACGGGGGGCACCTGCTGCCCTGTTCTTCAGAGCTCCTTGCGGGGGGCACTGTGCCTGGGAGGCGTGGAGCCCTGGAGGCCCGAGGTAAGGGGTACAGGGCAGGGGTCCAGTCACATGGCCACAGTTTCTAGTAGGACAGAGGCTCAGGGAGACCCAGGTTCAGGAGGCTAGGAGCTGGAGTCCTCTCAGGCCACTTTGGATGTGTCTTAACCCTCTCTGCAGCCGGCCCCCGGTCCCAGCACTCAGTATGACCTGTCCAAGACCAGGGCTGCCCTCCTCCTGGCTGTGATCCAAGGCCGGCCTGGGGCCCAGCACGATGTGGAGGCGCTGGGGGACCTGTGCCGCGCCCTGGGCTTTGAGACCACTGTGAGGACGGACCCTACAGCCCAGGTGAGGGGACGCCGAGAATACTGCTGGTGCTCTGAAGGAAGACCACCCCTCCCTAGGAACCTGGGGCCTCTCTCCTGAGCCTCTCTCCATCACTGGCAGGAAGTGCACCACAGGTCTATCCTCTGCCTTTCCTGCCGCCTGTGTCAGGCCATCACGTCCCTGCTTCTGGAAGCCTGGTCTCCAGGGTCCCCGAGGCCTCCCTCGTTGGCTTGTTCTCTGCCCTCCCCACCCGCCCACCTCAAAGCTTAGCTCCAAGTCTTGGTTTCCCTCCCAGCAGCCCACTGCCCTCTCCTCACACCTCTCGACTTCCTGGTACAGCTTCCTCACCAAGGCAGGAGGAGAACTGGCTCTAGGAAGCTAGGCCTATGTCAACTCTTGGAGGAGGGAGTCAGAAAAGGGCTTCTGGCCAGGCACAGCGGCTCATGCCTGTAATCCCAACACTTTGGGAGGCCAAGGTGGGCAGATCACTTGAGGTTAGGAGTTTGAGACCAGCCTGACCAACATGGTGAAACCCTGTCTCTACTAAAATGACAAAATCAGCTGGGTATGGTGGCAGGTGCCTGTAATCCCAGCTACTTGGGAGGCTAAGGCAGGAGAATCACTTGAACCCAGGATGCAGAGGTTGCAGTGAGCTGAGACTGCACCACTGCACACCAGCCTGGCCAGCCTGGGCAGCAAAAGCAAGACTCTGTCTCAAAAAAAAAAAAAAAAAGAGGGCCCTCCCTGGGCCTCTGAGTGTGTGAGTGGCAGGTGGTAGGAGGCCAGGTGGGCAGGGGCTGGGAAACCTTCTCAGCCCCGCAGAGGGCAGCTAGGGGCTGGGGAGGTGGTGGCTTTTGCCCAGGCCTCAACATTGCTTCCATCCTAGGCTTTCCAGGAGGAGATAGCCCAGTTCCGGGAGCAGCTAGACACCTGCAGGGGCCCTGTGAGCTGTGCCCTTGTGGCCCTGATGGCCCATGGGGAACCACGGGGTCAGCTGCTGGGGGCTGATGGGCAAGAGGTGCAGCCCGAGGCACTGATGCAGGAGCTGAGCTGCTGTCCAGTGCTGCGGGGGCATCCCAAGATCTTCCTGCTGCAGGCCTGCCGTGGGGGTGAGCAGCCTGGCCGCCTCCTGGCCTCATTTCCTCGGCCAGCCTCAGCCCCCAGGACTCACTGTCCACCTCCTCCAGGGAGTCTGGGTTCCTGTCCTTCCTGCCCCCTGTCCTGTCCACTCCTAGAGGTCAAGTCCACGACCTTGAATCCTTAACCCTCAACACTTGTCATTCAGCGCTCTGAATGTCTCCAGTCTGGCAAGCCTGCCCTGGAGCTCTGGGGCTGGGTCCTCGTCTTGACCCCATGTTCACATGAGACCCCTGAGCACCCCCAGGTATCCCCAGAGTGAGACTATCTGCCTCTCCCTGCCCTCTTCAGGAAACAGGGATGCTGGTGTGGGGCCCATAGCTCTCCCCTGGTACCGGCGCTGGCTGCGGACACCTCCATCTGTCCCCTCCCATGCAGATGTCCTGCAGATCTACGCTGAGGCCCAAGGTGGGTTCTGCCTTCCCTCCAGGGCCTGGGCTTGGGCAGGACTGGTGGTGGGGACCGCCCAGAGAGCATCTCCGGGACTCTCAGCTGGGGTATGGCTGCCACCTGCATCCTGTTTGCCAAGAAAACAGGAAGAAAAAAAATCTTCCTAAACTGCAAGGGCCTTTGGGAAGTGGGAGCTTTTTCCCCTATTGGATCCTGGCAAGAATCCTGGAATCGGCAGGTCAAATAGCTTTTCTGAGGTCACAGCTGGTAAGTCGCTGGGCCAAGCTTTGAACTTCTGTCTTTCCTGCCCTGCATTCTTTCCACCTCCCTGGGCTGCCCTTAAGCCACAGATGGTGAGCCCTGGGGGCTGATGGGGTTCCAGGATGTTGATCACTGGAGCTGATTCCTCTTATAGACAGCTCCGGCAAGGGCCCTGCTTCAGGAAGCTCCCACCAGGCAGACATCCTGACGGTCTATGCAGCCGCTGAGGGTAAGGAGATGGGTCATCAGGAAGCCCGTGGTTACACAGGGCCCAGCTTCCTGGCCTAAGATCTGGAGTAGCCTTAGGGGCAGCTAAGGGCTTAGGGTTGGGGCACAGAGATGGCAGCCCAGCTGTGGGCAGGCCATGTTCCCTGCATGGGCTATGACGTGTAGTAACAGCAGTGATGGTGAGCGCTGTGAGGCGCTGCTGTGCCAACAACTGTGTGTGCAGGCTTCCTCAAGGCTGTGAGTTCCACAAGGCCAGGGCAGATCTGCCTGCCCTGAGGCCCTGCTCAGTGCCTGGCACATAGTAGGTGCACAGTAAATAGTAGTGAATCTCTTCATAGGCTCATTCTGCAAATATCTAGCAACAGCTTGTTCAGATGCAAGAAGTCCCTGTTCGCTGCCCTGTTCTCTTGCCTAATCCCCAAGTCCTGCCTGCTTGTACCCCCGCTTCCACCAATAATAGGACCCCTGGGATTGGAAGGCAGAGGGTTGGGGCCCTGGTCTGATGCTCTGGCCCTGGTCCCCTGACCTAGGCTATGTGGCCTATCGGGATGAGAAGGGCTCAGACTTTATCCAGACCCTGGTGGAGGTCCTCAGAGCCAACCCCGGGAGAGACCTTCTGGAGGTGCTGACTGAGGTATGTTGGGGGGTTCCAGGGTGACAAGGGGTGAGGGGCTGGATTTGCCCTTCTCACCAGCCCTGGTGTTCTGATTACTTCTGGTAAACTCCATTGGTGAAGGAGGGATCCTCTGCCCTTGACAGTACAAAATAACCAAACCCAGGATGCCCGAAGCTGCATAGATGCCATTGACTGTAGTTCATAGTCCCACGTACCACAGTAGGGGGAGGAGGATGCTTCACGCCCTGTGGGACCACCTGGGCTGTGCTCAGAGCAGGGTGAACCTGCAGGGCCTATTGGAAGCTGGTTTTGTAGTGGCAAAAGAGTGAGACGTCCCTGGTTCCCATAGGCAGATGTGGTTGGTTGGTTTGAATATTTCCAAGGCCTGACAGAGGGCTGAAGTCCATTAGGGTGAGGACTAGGTGGGGTACAGCTGGTCTGGCTGAGAGGGGAACTAGGGTGTGGGAGCCTGTCCTGATGGGTGGGGACATGTCTGGCCAGAGTGGAGGAATTCACTGTTAGGCCGCTGGAGCCCTGCGAGCCTCAAAGATGTCCAGGCAGCCCTTGAAATTTTAGAGCTTACAATGCACCAAGCCAGGGGCCCTCCCTTGGGGCAGGCTAAGCCCGGAAGGGCTGGAGCCCCAGGCACAGGCTGGTTGTGGTCCTCAGGTCAACAGGCGGGTGTGTGAGCAGGATGTGCTGGGCCCCGACTGCGATGAACCCCGAAAGGCCTGCCTGGAGATCTGCAGCTCGCTCCGGCGCCGGCTCTGCCTCCAGGCCTGACAGCGCCGCGGCCACCCGGGGGCTGCAGAGACCACCACTGCTGCCTCCCTCCGCCACCCACCCCGAGGTTTCCTCATCTGAGAGCGAGGCGTGGCAGTGTGGGGGTGGGCGCTCAATAAACGTCTGCCGTGAACAGTTCCTGTTCTCAAGGAAGTGTGAAATAAGTGAGATAATGTGTGTAATGCGCCTTCAGGGCATATGGACGCAATTGTGTCCCTGGGAACCGAGCTGGGGCCAGTGCCCAGGTTCTGGGACTTAGGAACCCAACATGGGCTGGGCTGGGCTGGGCTGGGCTGGCGGTTTGGTTACGGTAGCAACCGAGGGGAGAGGAGTCCGGGGAAAAGGCCGCATATCCTTCTCTCAGCCATGTCCCTGTACACACGCGCCCCACCTCCACCCCGCTCTGGGCGACGGAAACGCAGGAGACACGGCCTCCGCTTTCCAGGCGGCCAGAATAAAGTCTGGGGCCAAAAGCCTCTGAAACACACCTTTGCAGATTCACCGGTGATGGAGCAAGCACAGGGGCTGGGGAAGCAGCTTGCAGCCCTTGACCCAAAGCGGCAGGAGGCACATGAGGGAAAGGGCTCCCAAACGGCGTCTCGGAGGGGCCTGTTGCTGGGCGGGTGGGATCTGGCAGGCTCGCCAGGGCTAGAACTCGCAGCCCAGGACCGCGGCGGCCGTTTCCGCCGAGCAGACTCAGCGACCGGACGCAGTAGCGCAGCTCGTGGCCCCGCTCACCGGGCGCTCGAGGGGCGGGGCCTCCCTCGCTCTAAGCATGCGCGCTGAAGCGCACAACATAGGCTCTGGGAAAGCTTTATGGGAAAAGCTGGACGATTGTCACCCGCGGGGCCGCGTGGCCTAATGGATAAGGCGTCTGATTCCGGATCAGAAGATTGAGGGTTCGAGTCCCTTCGTGGTCGCTGGTAGATTACCTTTTTCTTCTCGCTGCATGAAACAAATTTCTTTTCCTTGCTCGCCACCCTGGACACTCGAACTAAGTCACCCAGCTGAATCCTCAGATGTCGCCTTCGCTTGCAATCTTGCAAATCAGGACCCAGGGCTGGAATTGCAGCAAGGGCGACCCCAAGACCGCTGGCGGGTCCCTGGCGGACTGCGGAGCTTGAAGCCAGAGACCGCGAGTACTGGTTACCACTAGGGAATTGACTTCACAAATTAAGGTTCAGGCGATGGAAACTGTGACAGATGCGGGGTTGGGATTGCTTGAGGTGAGAAGTTGCCCCAAAGGGGTCAAAGAGCATGTGTAGTTTTTGTTTTTTGTTTTTGTTTTGAGGCGGAATTTTGCTCTTGTTGCCCAGGCTGGAGTGCAATGGCACGATCTCGGCTTACCGCAAGCTCTGGCTCCCGGGTTTAAGCGATTCTCTTGCCTCAGCCTCCCGAGCAGCTGGGTTATAGGCATGCACCACCACGACCGGCTAATTTTGTATTTTTAGTAGCGATAGGGTTTCTCCATGTTGGTCAGGCTGTTCTTGAACTCCCGACCTCAGGTAATCTGCCTGCCTCGGCCTCCCAAAGTGCTGGGATTACAGGCATGAACCACCGTGCCCGGCGACAAGTGTAGCTTAATTGATTATTGCCGTAATTATCTCATGAACGATGGAGGACGAAGGCAGAATTGAAGACAAAAACAAAAGGTTCTATTTGAAAGAAGGGGTCAGGGGCGCTTTGCCTCTAGTGAGCAAACGCCCTGAGCTTTTACAGCCCTTCGTATTTATGAAGTAAAGAGAATAGGGAGGAGGGGGTGATTGTCTTACAGCTACTTGATTTATCACAGGTACTGCTTTCCTTGTTCAACAGGTTCCAGATGTTCAGGTAGAAAACCTCAAGGAGCACAGGACGAGGGACGTGACTGCCCTCAAAATTCCTTCTGGTGACAGACGCAGTTTGTCAGTTTGCAGATATCCTGCTTTCTTTTTTTTTTTTTTTTTTTTTTTTTTGAGACGGAGTTTCGCTCTTGTTACCCACACTGGAGTGCAATGGCGCGATTCTCGGCTCACCGCAACCTCCGCCTCCTGGGTTCAGGCAATTCTCCTGCCTCAGCCTCCTGAGTAGCTGGGATTACAAGCACGCACCACCATGCCCAGCTGATTTTTTGTATTTTTAGTAGAGACGGGGTTTCATCATGTTGACCAGGATGGTCTCGATCTCTTGACCTCGTGATCCACCCGCCTCGGCCTCCCAAAGTGCTGGGATTACAGGCTTGAGCCACCGCGCCCGGCCCAGACATCCTGCTTTCTTGAGGACAATTTGGGTTTGTTCATATAGCCTCCAGAGGTATACTGACTTGGTCACGCCCCACATTATATCTGGGGTCTCCAGCAGATTACTGTGGTGAAAAACTTTGTAACCTCTATCAACTGATCTAGGATAACAAAGTAAAAAAGAAAAAAATATATAAATAGTGGTGGTGATTGCACAATACTGTGAATGTGATTAATGCACTGAAGGGCACACTAGAAAATGGTCAAAATGGCAACCATTTTTGTATATATTTATATGTAAAACTGTGCATATATATGTATGTGCATGTATATATACACATACATATATACGTAGGTGTATACATATATACATACACATGTTTACACACACACACACGCACACACACATATATTATATACACCATTTTAAAATACAAAAAAAGAACACCTAGGCCGGTCGCGGTGGCTCACGCTTGTTAATTCCAGCACTTTGAGAGGCTGAGGGCGGGTGGATCACCTGAGGTCAGGAGTTCAAGGCAAGCCTGGCCAATATGGTGAAACCTAGTCTCTACTAAAAATACAAAAAAATAGCGGGCCTGGTGGCAGACACCTGTAGTCCCAGCTACTCCGGAAGCTGAGGTAGGAGAATCACTTGAACTCGGGAGGCGGAGGTTGCAGTGAGCGGAGATCGCGCCACTGCACTCCAGCCTGGGCAACAAAGGGAGACTCCGTCTCAAAACAAAGCAAAAAACACCTATTAGTTTATTTAGATTTCTTGCAATGAGAGAGTGCCTTTAAAATGACTACTGTAAAAGTGTATTTAACATTTTCTTTTCCTTTTCTTTTCTTTTATTTTTGAGACAGAGTCTTGCTCTGTCGCCAGTCGCAGTCTTTAAAATTTTCAATACAGGAGGAGTGCGGTGGCTCACGCCTCTAATCCGAGCACTTTGGGAGACCGAGGCGGGCGAATCACGAGGTCAGAAGAGCGAGACCATCCTGGCCAACATGGTGAAAGCCCGTCTCTACCAAAATACAAAAAATTAGCTGGGCGTGGTGGCGCGCGCCTGTAATTCCAGCTACTCGGGAGGCTGAGGTAGGGGAATCGCTTGAACCCGGGAGGCGGAGGTCGCAGTGAGCCGCCATTGCACTCCAGCCTGGCTAACACAGCGAAACTCCGTCTCAAAACAAAATAAAATAAAATACGCCGGGCGCGGTGGCTCACGCCTGTAATCCCAGCACTTTGGGAGGCCGAGGTGGGTGGATCACGAGGTCAAGAGATCGAGACCATCCTGGTCAACATGGTGAAACCCCGTCTCTACTAAAAATAAAAAAAAATTAGCTGGGCATGGTGGTGCGTGCCTGTAATCCCAGCTACTCAGGAGGCTGAGGCAGGAGAATTGCCTGAACCCAGGAGGCGGAGGTTGCGGTGAGCCGAGATCGCGCCATTGCACTCCAGCCTGGGTAACAAGAGCGAAACTCCGTCTCAAAAAAAAAAAATAAATAAATAAATAAAAAAATAAATAAAATAAAATACATATAAAATTTTCAATACAAAGGATATGTCCAGGATTAACATTACACTGGGTAAAAAATGTCTACCAAAAATAAAAAAAATTGTCTACCAGCGGAACCCGAGTTTAGTCTGGGTGCCAAGCAGCGCCGTGTGGGGTGTCCTTCCACGGGGTGAAGGCTGCGAAAAGTCACAGCTGCGGGCATGTCCTCCGATCGGCGGACGCTGGTGACTTGGGTCATGCAGGGTGTCACTTTCTCCTTTAACTTTTTTTTGATGCTCCAGTGGTTTAGGAAGTCTCGAACTCCTGGCCTCGGGCGTTTACTAGGTATTGAGCAAAAGCGTTTACTAGGTATTATGTGTGTGTACTTAATTAAAATACAGATTTTTTAAAAAAGGAAAACAACACACATGTTGGGGCAGGAAAGTAAACACGCAACGTGAAGATCCTGAGATTAACATCGAGCCAGCTGGGGATGTAGAGGGCGGATTTTGGAGAGTCATTATTAAGAGGCCTCCGACCACACAGCGGCACCCATTGTCTAAGAGACAAAGCAGAGAGGAGGACGAAGACCAACACTTCCCCAAGCGGCGGGCTCGGGATGAGGAGTCAGTTGCTGAGCAGGCATCGCGTGCCCCTTCCCATACGCTCCATCGCAAAAGCGTCTTTCGCTACTAATTACCCCTGGACTTGGGTTCTCTCCTGAAGGGAGACTGGGGCTCCCCCAGGGACTTGATCCAGGCACCTCTTACCCCCTAAGCAAAGATCATACCCCTAGACCAAAGGGCCGAGCCAAAAGCTAACTTTGGTGTCTTTCAGCTCCCTCTGCACGTGCGCGGTCTCTCCGGGGTCCTGAGAATGTTCAGGAGCAGACAAAATCTGAACCGGAGCTTGGATTCCCGTGGCGAGGCGGGGGAGAGCCAGGATGGGGCTGATAGGCTATGCGGGAACCACGGCGGGGTGATGGAGACTGGTCTAAGACAAGCACAGGCCTGTCATTGCCTGCCCCGGTGGCCTAATGGATAAGGCATTGGCCTCCTAAGCCAGGGATTGTGGGTTCGAGTCCCACCCGGGGTAATAAGGGCTGAATTTTGGGTTCTTTACCGGGGAGAAGGAGAAAAAGGAAGTTGTTATTGCCCGGTGGAGGTGCGGAGCTGTAGCAGGGTTCCCCGACAAGCTGTGCATTAGAAATCTTGTATTTGGTTTCAAATAAGAGGGAGGGTATTTTCAGATTGCAGAAAAAAGTAGTTGAAACTTTAACAGGATTTTAAGAATCATCCAATTTGATAAAGAGGAATGATTGTTTTTCAGGTTTGTTAATTCCATTATGGTTATGTATATTCTTAAAATCCTTATTTTCTTATAAACACAATTATTTATGAATTAAATTACAGGGATAACTTGTTTG